AGCCTGCCACACTTTGCTGTTATTATCTGGTTTGGGAGCAAGGGAGGCTGCCCTAGATCCCAGATTAAGCCTTCATCTTCTAATTTAAAGACCCCTACAAACCCCACCTGCCTCCATTCCTCCCTCAGACACCAATTCTGAGCCCCCTGTGCCTACCAGGTCACCCATCATCTTAATGGCAAATCATGGCTTTTGGCCTTCTGAACAGCTATGCTTATTGCCTTGCAGGTGTTACCACTTCATTTCAGAGGGCACTTAGCACCAGTCCTATATCAGGCTGTTCTATGCCTTTAGGTTCCTTGAGGAGACAGTCTTTGGTGTCCACCCCTTTTCTCTTGCTGGACTCTTCTGCCTAGGTCCACTGTGGTAGACCTGGCTTCTGGCCTCCAGTTACCATCTCATCTTTATCAGTTTGGGCCCCAGGCCCTGGTCTTACCCCTATAGGGTTCTGGGCCCATAGCCCCTTCACTGCCCCTCTTAGGTTTTCTGCCCCTGGTCCCAAGCCCAATTCTTGCTCCTCTCAGGCAATAGTCTTTTCTGACCTAGGCTTTAATCCATTCCTAGTCAATGGCAATCCACACAGAGCCCAGGCCCTGATAAGATTCACCACACAGATGAGCCTCTTAGATACTACTAGGATCTCTAGTCTCCTCTGCTAGTTCCTTCTAGCTCTCCAGTTTAACTCATACCAAAAAAGTAAGCCCTCCTGCTATAACTAAAAGCACTTTGCCTGCACAACAACATCCAACTCTCAGTTTCTTACTTTTAGTCTGCAGTGTAGTAGGATTCCCAGGTAGTCTCTTAGTCACAATCATCACAGAGTAACTTTTCCCCTGGCAGCCTGCAGAGTCTAGCTGACTCATGGGCTAAAGTCCTGAGTTTATATGCTGCCTCAGCCTAGCCCCCTCCAGGGCATGTGACTTCCTCCCAGCTGTTTTCTTTCAGGGAACAATGAACATCTTTCAAATGCAGTGAGTGCTGCCCTTGTCTTTTTCCCTTTGCCTCCCCTGCTCAACTGAGTGGTGGAGGCTGCATTTTAAAAGCCAGAGGGATTAGGAGCCTGGCAAGCAGAGGCTTTCCCTAAGCCTGGCTCCCAGCCCTGCTGGTGTCTCCTTGCTGCCCAACTGACCCAGAGCAAAACAGGATGAGGCAGACTGCTATGCTTCAGTGGCAAGGCTCAGGAATTTTGCTGCTGCAATGAAATGCCTCTGCTCTACCCAGCACTGCTCTGAGTCAGCCCTGAGTAAAATGGAATAAGGCAGACTATTTTCCCTCCCTCTTTGCACTCCTCCAAGTTAGTCAATAGTAGTGCAAGGAGTGGGAATGTTCTCCACTGGGGGAGAACTAGAAGGGTCCAACAATGGGAGAATAGCCTTGTGTTGTCAATCAGCTGATTGATGGGATGGAGGAGGAAGCATTCTCCAGGTGCTTGAACCCTCCCAGAGCTAGGAGAGTTTGCCTGTGAAGCTCTCCAGCTACAAGGCTAGAAGAATGTTTGTGCAGTCAGATCCTGGGCTATTTTTCTACCAGAATAAATTTATTTTTAAAAAAAATGGGCATCTATATGCAGCCTAGGTTCCAAACTTCAAGACAGAGTAAGGACAAGGGGCAGGCAGGCGGGCAGACAGGAAGGAATAAAGGCCCTGATATGATGACTCAAAATGAAGCAAAAGTGAGACATTGCATCGGCAAGTCACCGATGGCCAGAATATGAAAGAAAGCAAAATACCTAATCCCTAGGCTAGGATTTGATAAAGATCTAGCTTGCTTGCTCCTGGGCAGTGAATAAAAGAAGAAAATTGAGCAATATGAAGGTGGGTAAAACAACAGGAGTTCTAGCTTGCATATGGCCAGAGCAAAGATTCTTAAAACTCAAGTGCACAAATTCAAACAATGCCTACATGTCTTTCTTCTGACTCTCACCATTTCTCTGAGGGGAAAGAGTGTCTGGCTGTTTTGGCCAGCTGAGTAATGCAAGCCAGTGGGCATCCAGAGGTGCCTTCTGAAAATCTTTATGAATAAGCTCCTTCATGGAATTAGAGAAGTTATAGAGAGTCCCTGAAATATCTGCACATGCATTTCAATACAACACCACAACTTTAAATTCAGTAGTTTGATTTCAGTTTGTATCACTTCCTTTCCTCACATAATTTCAGGTGCTTTATGTGCACATTTTTGTATTAATTTTACATAGTCTGTTGGTAAATGCCGTCCTTGATTCTCTTTCTATCTCTGGCCAATGCAAATGTCTATATCTTTGCCAATCACACACGCAAGCTTTAAGTAATACTGAGTAATACTGACTAAGGAAAGCCAAAGGCAAAATTACCATTATTTTTATATGCAAAATCTAACCTTTAATATGCCATATGCAGCTACAGTGGAAAATCTTACTCCTATAGGGTTTTCTATTAAATAGATGAAATTTGCATGAAGTATCAAGTAATCTATACACCAAACATCTTGGCATCAGGTATTTTTAGCAACATGTACAGAGGAAAGTTTAATATCTCTAAATGAATAACATACTCGCATGGGTAATTTGGTTGCCTTGTAGTAAAATGAATCATGCTACTGTGTATAAAAAAACCCAACTGTATAGGGTGGATTTCTGTGCACCGTAAGTATAAAATAAGCAACATAAAATTTTGGAAACATTGCAATTAGATGCTAAATTACTTTACAGTACTTAAACATATTAATCAAGTTGAAAAATAATCTACTCAAAACTCATTAATCTAAATCAAGTATAAAACATTCCTTAGCTAATGCTCCCAATATGTGAAACTTATATACAGAAGACTTTCTTTCTTTTATAACTAGTTACATATAGATCAAAGAGATATACCTACCACTTATTTCTTTCAGTATATTGGCAGTTCCAGTGAAAACAAAATGATAATAAAAAGACTGATTATTATGATGGATGGGCAAACCAGTTCATACAGAATGAACTATGTTAACATTCCCTCAGAACTAAAACTGGCTGAAAAGAGATTTTTTCTGAAGGTTCCAAGAAACTTGCTTTGATACCAAGGAAGTTTAGATAAGCTCTAATGTGTATTCAAACTATTTAATGCTTATAACCAGAGCTGTGTCAAATTTTAGGTTCCCTCCATTTGGTATATTTCACTCAACCCATTTCATTTTGAATTGTATTTTAAATGGAGAATAAAAACTGAAAGTGAAGCTGAATTGAGAGCATTTCATTTTATCTGGCATCACATAAAACTTTGCAAAACTGAATTTTTCATGCTTTTAGTGAGAAACTATAAATCAACCTAGGGTTTGCTCAAACATTTAATTAACCTTCAGGTCAGTTCCTCAGGGTTAAATGCTGTCATCACTGAGGAAACTGGGAATTTTTCCTTTGACTTTACTGCAATCAAATTGTCTCCTTGTGAATTGTTTTAAATGAAAATGGCTAATGTAAATTGGTGGAATACTATAAAAATATATTTGCAAAATATGACTACGAGGAAAAATATCAGAATTCACAGTAGATATTATAATTCACTCTTCAGCCATCTCTATGGGCCAGTTTCAAGTTAGTGAAAAATCAAAACTCAGCTGGCCCTGTAATTTTTTTTTTTTTTCTCAGTATTGGTCCAACTTTTTATATTCCACTCATCAATAATAGGCTGAAATTCAAAAGGCTGAATTATGCAGGCTTCTTTGATATAGGAATTGGGATGAAAATACTTGCAATTTACTTCTTATACTTCTTGCTTCCAGTTGGACCAGAAATGCTATTAGGACAAGTTGTAGGACTTTTGGGGATGGAAGGGCTGCTATGATTTAATGAAGGGGAGAGCTGGGGTGCTAGAGTCCCAGAAGGACCACAGGAAAAAGCATGGCACTGCAATTTGCTCCAGGGGAAGCAACCAAGCACCAGGGATGCTGAGTCACTTTCTGTTGGGTCCCCGACCAAAATGGAGGAGGGGCAGTGATCTCCGGACCCAATCAGGCCCAGGCGCGCACAATTTATCTGGCCTATGGAACAATCCACTACATCTTATCTGATTCATGGGTCAATTGAGTTTGGTACCCCTGTTTAATGTTTTGTCATGAACTTCTTTTGGCTTTAGTATTTACATTTCAAAGTTATTCCGTTCCTAATTAGGTACTAGATACCTAAATAATTTTTTTTAAGAAAACTTATGAAAATCACACCGGGAATCCTACAATGTGTCTGTTTGCATCTTTAAGTGCTTGACTAACTTGGAAGAAAAAAGTATGTACCAACAATAAAGAAAAGGAATGTACAGAGGATGGTTTAGCCTGCAATGATATATTTCCATTGATCCCACTGGGACCTCAACTGAGCCCTAAGTAATTAAGTTTTCTGTAATATTATCACACATGCACTCTCCTGCATCACACCCTGACGTTTAGTAGAATATGTTTTTAAGGCCTAAATTGAAGGTGGTATTAAACAAAATGAAAGCAATTTTAAAACAATGCTGAACTGTGTATACCAGTATTTAATGCAGAATACCCCATTATTGCAAAATTTAGTTTTAAATTAGGTGTATTAGCACAGTAGTCATTATTCTACAAATCTGTACTTTAGGACCATTTTATAGTATAACTGAGGCCATTTATTATGCTTTTTTTTTCTTACCATAGGAGTTTAAAAGATGTTACAGGCCATGATTAAAATATGCATTTTTATGGGGGAAAAAAACGAAGTACAATTTTAGGCCAGGTGCAGAAATTATACTTTTTTTGGTTTAGATGGTCAGAAGCTGGTCTATACCCATAACAAAACAGAAGTTCAGGGCACTGTGAGGGGTCGACAGGGGGGCAGAAGGAAGGTTCGGAGGGATGGAATGGACGATGCTTACCTCTGGCATAGGGAAGAGCCAATCCAGTGGGGAAGCCAACCTGCCAAGGTTTCTAAGCACCTGCTCCTTCTGGACTGGCAGAAGGAGCACTGGAACTGGCATTTCCATCCTTGGAGAGAAGCCAAGAGAAAGAGTGGCAGTGGACACTGGTGATGGAAGCTAGAAGCTGTTAAACCTGCCCATCTCCCATGGAGAGCAAAGAGGGGATCAGACTCTCAGAGTGGAGAGGTTCAGAAAAGCCCAAGCCAGGACTGGGGTACAGCCAGATGGGGAGCAGACCAGGACAACAGAGCCAGTGAAGACACAGCCAAAGGCAGTGGAGGATGCAGAAGAGTTGGAGCAGCTGTCACCCTGGGGGACTGTGAGTCTTAAAGAAGCTGTGTCCCTTTGAAGACCAGTTCCATTCGTTGGGGGGTTTTTAAAGATTTTTTTTCCCTTTTGGACTGTGTTGTGGGGACATGGGTTGTCTGTCCCAGCAGGAAGAGGGCTAAAGTAAAAGCTCTTCCCAGAAGGTGCATTGGCCCAGACACATGGGTCTGGATCTAGGGTCACCACCAAGACATAAAGACTGCAGTTAATAGCTCATGAGACTGTAAAAGAAACTGTTGTGAACTGACTGTTTAACACACCATGAAAGGAATTTAATTTAAGTGGGTTCTGGCCCTGGACTAGTTTTTTGAGAACCTTTCAGTAGAACCAGATTGGAACAAGCAGAAGAGTGAATTAATTTAGGCTCACCACTTCAGGGGCCCTGGATGGACTGATTTTATTTGATTAGTTTGTATCCAAGGGAAAATTTGATTTAGATGCATCTCAGTGTTGACTTTGGCTAAACTGATCAAGTTGTAGACTGGAGAGAGGCTGGGTTGAGTTCCAGCCAGAAGCAGTTGTTAACAGCCCACTGGCCTCAGTAAAATTAAGGCACAGAACATCACCCACTGTTTGGACATGGTAAGAGTGCGGTGTAAGGGGAGGAGCCCCAT